ACTTTATTGATTTGGATATTTTGAGTATGTTGGCTACCTCCCACTATTGGTTTCTAGTGGGGAAAGAACAGGGTGCTGCTAAACATCTTCCAGTGTGTAAGACAGACCCATAGCAAAGAATTGTTTGACTACAATGTCAATGGTACCAAGAAACTTCACAAACCTCTTTTGACATGTTCCATCAGTCACAGCACATTCTCAATACAACTGCATAATTTTTTTTTTTTTTTGCTTTTCAGTTGCATTTTTACCTTTCTTGAAATAATAAAGCATAATACACCAAAAATGTTGGGTATCTTCTTCCATCTTCAATATTAAAATGGCTGCACAAAAATTCACCAATTTTGATAAGTTTTTTTTTTAAATGCACTATGATATGACAGCAGTCACAACACAATCTAACAAAATTGTTTCGAATGAAGTTAAAGACAACTAAGCACTACCAGAGCCATCGTATGGAAAAAACTAAATGAAATTTTTAGTCAACCCAATAGGTCAAGAGTTATAAAGTCACTGCCTGTACAAACTTTTTTGTTGGCCCATACCACTCTTTAAAGGAAATAAAACTATTGTAATAAATGATAGTCTTCTTTGGAATGCGTGGAGCTTTGGCACCTATCATTTTATACCAGACTACTTCAAGAATTTACAATTATCTTCCACACAGCAATATTTTCACCAATATGTCCCCTAGAGCAAGGGACATAAAGGAAAGAATAAACGAATGGGACTACATCAAATAAAAAAGCTTCCTCATGGCTAAAGAAAACATCAGCAAAATGAAAAGCGAACCAACTGTACAGGAAAATATTTTTGCCAATGATACCTCAGTCAAGAGTTTGATCTCCAAAATATATAAAGTACTCACACGACTGCACTCCAGGAAGATAAGCAATCCAATTAAAAAAATGGGCAAAGGACCTGAACAGACACTTCTCCAAAAAGGATATACAGAGGGCCCACAGACATATGTAAGGATGCTCAGCATCACTAGCCATCAGAGATACGCAAATTAAAACCACAATGAGGTACCATTTCCCACCAGTCAGAATGGCCATCATAAACAAATCAACAAACAAGTGCTGGTGAGGCTGTGGAGAAAAGGGAGCCCTAGTGCACTGCTGGTGGGAATGCAGACTGGTGCAGCCACTGTAGAAAATTTCCTCAAAACACTAAAAATGGAACTGCCTTTTGACCCAGCGATTCTGCTGCTGGGATTATACCCTAAGAATCCTGAAACATCAATTCAAAAGAACCTATGCACTTCAATGTTCATAGCAGCACAATTTACAATAGCCAAGTGCTGGAAACAGCCTAAGTGCCCATCAGTAAATGAGTGGATCAAAAAACTGTGGTACATTTACACAATGGAATACTATGCAGCAGAAAGAAGGACGGAGCTCCTACCCTTCACAACAGCATGGATGGAACTGGAGAGCACTATGCTAAGTGAAATAAGCCAGGTGTTGAAAGGCAAGTACCATATAATCTCACCTATAAGTGGAACCTAATCAACAAAACAAACAAGTGAGAAAAACAGGAGACACGGAAATAAATAACAAGCTGACAGTAACCAGAGCTGGGGGAGGGGGATAACGGGGGAAAGAAGGGGAAGGGTCAAGGAACATGTATAAAGGACCAATGGACGAAGACAATGGGGAGGGGCGTGGATTGAATGTGGGAGGTGGGGGTTGGTAAGGCAGGGGAGAATACTGGGGGGGGAAATGGGGACAGCTGTAACTGAACAACAATTTTAAAAAATGCAAAAAAACAAAACAAAAACATTCTCATGTCTAGAACTAACCAGAATTTTAACTTCCAATCCTATACCATTGAACGAAGATTAAATAAAAGGTTTTACCCCCACACACAAGAATTTACAGTATCTATCTGTTCCCTGAAGACACCTGTAACTGCCATCCCATATGGACGTAGTTCCTGGGATCTATTTTAAGTACCTATATTTTTCCCTTTAAGGGGCCATAGCCTCCCAAATCTTTATAATATCTGGTACCACATAAAGGCTTCCCCTTACTTTTGAGGATGACACCAGAGCTATGGTATCTTGTTTGGGATGATTTTTGCAGTCTCACTGTGATAAAGACCATGCATCTTGTCTCTTGCACTACAAGCCATTAATTATAGCTACTTGAAACCTAGAAGAATCCATATTCTAAGCTATTCTATCAAAACAAGACAACTACTTTGTTTTTCCTAGAGAAAGGCAGGGAGAAAAATCCTAAGTGTAAGGTTACCAAAAATGTCTTTTCTCCTTTAAATATAAACAGAGTCAATGACAATAACTGGTTACATCACCTTGATCAGCTGTTATTCCGTACTCAGTTTCCCACTGGGAAATACAGTGTGCTTGATATTTCTACACATGATGCAATCCTTTCTATGATTTTAACTAAAACATTATAAAAATAACTAATTCTTGTAAAGAGAAACAACAGAAAAAAGAAAGATGTCCCACTAGGGAAACGTTCATTGCTTCTCAAGCCAGATAAAATAGCCACCTCTTGAAAATAAAGCCCTGCAGAGGTCAAAGTGGCTGTACAGGTGTGACAGATTTTTGCCTCCCTTGGATTTTACTCTACTCAACGCTAGTGCTACTGTTCTGTAGCAAAGGTCTGACACAGGAACCATGAAGACTAAATCTGAACATCAGGTCTGCTAGGGTTCAAATGGAAGCAGGGGGAGAAGATGGCTAAAAAAGAAAAATGAACTATGCACTGAAGAGGGATGGCGCTATTGCTGCCAAATACTGCAAACTCTGTAGTTCTCAGAATGCCAATTAGTCAGTAAAGTTTATGTCAAATAAGGTGTATGTAGCTTGAAATGTTTCTTGATTTGGATGGTGGTTTACAAGGATACTTGTTTAATAAGAATCTCTATTAGCCTGTACCATATGTTATAATTTTTTAAAAAGGAAACAGGGAAGAGCTTGGTTAGGCTCTTCAGCCATATCAATTAGGCTTTATTTCTTTAAAAAAAAAGAATATTGAAAAATATTAATATATGTTAAATACGAGGTGTGGGCATATAGATATGTGTTAAACATTCTATGTTTTAAAAGTGTCCAAAAATTTAAAAATGTATTATTTTGTAAGGGTGTATCTCTTTCTCCAGTTGACTTAAAAGGAAAAAGAACCCTGCAGAAAGAAAACATTTTTCCTGGGTCTTATTATTATACATTGTTTGCACTGATGGTGTGCTTTAAAGGCTGGACTTTGAGCCTATGAAGAATGTAACTTAGAATAATTAGATGAATCAAGTTGAAGGAAGATCATGGGTTAAATTTAACAAAAGTCTTGCTCTATTCCTCAACAGTTTCTTTTGTGACGTACCTTCAAAGTGGTGTAAAAAGATAGAGATTATAATGCTGCTAATTAAATCAACTTCTACGCTTACTAACTTTTGAAGGTGCGGGCAGATAAAAGCATGCTTTCATAACATATATGCATGTATTCACCTATTCAATTTTCAGTGACCTCACCAATTTACCTGTTTTCCTTTCTGCTTTCAGTCTTTCACAGATCAATAGATGGATCAATTGATAACAATATTCTGAAATATACACATATTTTGCAATCTGCTCCTGCTCTAGGAATATCCGCTTTCCTCCCAGCAGCTATTGGTTTTGAGAATAAGAAATTACTCTTTTAATTCTTCCACAGAATATTCTTGGGCATCAAAGCTAGTATTATAATCTATCTTTGACCTTCACTGAATTTCAGGAATCTAGAATTAAACATGAACCTAATTCAAAGGTCCAATATTACCAGATTCAATATTGACTTGTCTAGGAAATTTACAGACGCAGAAAATTATTCTGTTTTTCAAGGGTTCAAAGGTTTAAGCCCAGAACTTCAACCTGCATAGCAGGCTGAAGGGAATAATTATTAAGAGTATTTGGGATGGAGATGGTCAGACAGATAAATTGATAGATATCAGTTTTATTTACCAGTCATTTTACTATGTTTAGATCAATGTTTTCAAAAGGGTAAAAGAATAAGCCAGCATCAGAAGACAAGAAAAGTACAGGAGAGGAAAAAAAATTCAATACACAAAATTCTAAGAAACACAGACCACAGTGAGACCGCAATAAATTCCATCTGAATTGACTTTAACAGAGAGCTATATATGTTCCACCATCTCACTACTCAAACCGCAGGTATCACAAGGCAATTCATCGGTTTACAGCTGTCCTGTGGGTACCATCTGAGAATCCAGAAATGATCAGTTTATGCAAAACAGCTACAACCCCCACAAACCAGGTACTCTCCACCTCAGCGATTACTGGCGAATTGGCAAACATTACTTGAGCAAGTGGAACCTATATTTCAAACAAAGACAAATCTGGAAGGCCACAAGTAAACGGCAGTTAAAACTAGCTCATTCATGCTGTTAGCCAACGATTTCGTAGAATCCGCTCAATTCCTCTTCCCAACACAAAAGGTTATCCTTGGGAGATGATGATTTAACCACCCCGTTCGTTAAGTGGGTGGAGCCACAAATCTGAAAAACTTGTTCGGGGAATCACTAAATGTTTGACCCGAAAATCGGCGGAAAATCAGCCAAAAGTATCTCAGGCCAAGTCTCTAAAACTCCTGATCTCCCAATATACATGCTTCCTCCCAACCTTTGGGCAGAAGTTTATACCGAAGCCAGAAACTACTAGCGCTAGATTCCACTGTGTGCCAGGCACGACTCCACTCATCAGCTCTCACTCAACTCTAAAACAACCAAACCGCATAGTCCTTGTTGCAGGGGTAACTGAGCTAGTAAAACCCACTCGCGGGAAGGCTCTGCCTCGTCGCTCGCCCCTCTTCACCCCGAGTTCCCAGAAGTACATGCCAAAGAAAAGTAAATAAAGGTGTTCAGGTCTTGGCTCTTTCGGAGCCGAGAGGCGGATGCCTGGAAGTTCCACCCGAAGGATACACAGTCCTAACTTGAAAACTAGGATCTCCTACAGGGGTGTCCCAGTGCCTGCTTACCGGTACGTTGTTGACTCCTTGTGCTTTAGAAGCTATCATGAGAATTTCCCTGAAATCCATGGTGACCGAATCAGATAGACTGGGCCAAGCTCTCGGAGTGGAGTGAAAGAGCGCCCTACCCAGGCGGCCAGCTGCAGCCAAGTAAACTGGCTGGCCAGCCTCTTTCCCACCCCTCCTCAGCACGACCACTTCCGGCGCCTTCCAATGAGGTCTACCCGCCCCCTTCCCTCAGGCAGCCTGGATCCTTTCAGGTCTGTCGCTTCACTCTCGAGTCCGCGGCGCAACTTCCGCTTTTAGGCTGGAGACACGTAGAAACGTGATACGTGGAAGATGACGTCACGCCAGGGGGCGGGGCTAAGCCCTTCACCGACGAAGGAGACGCGGCCTAGTAAAATACGGGGTGTGGCTATGTCAGAGGGCTGCTTCTCCAGCACCCCTGGCGCGTACCCTTACAATTTTGGTGCTCCTTGGGAGCTCTGGGTAGGGAAAGCGAGGGTGTGGTGGTTTACCTACCAGGCCTGGGTTCGCTGGGTGTCACAGGTGGACGCTCAGGTCTGAAACGGCGGCGCCCCAACAGCAGAACCGACAGGTCTCGAGCAGGGGGTTTCAGTTACTGGTTTCTAGGCGCTCTCGAGGCTGCGCAGGCGCAGACGACACAGACTTGTCCTGTCTTGGATACACATTATTCATAACGTCCTGGAACATGATGTGTGCTCACTTCCTACACAGATGTACACATTCCAGGTTTAGAGGCACCCGACCCGTTACCGCTTTTAACCTCATTTAGATAAACCCCACGGAGGGCAGTGCTTGGCTCAGTGGATGAATGCAGGAATTCCTCACAGACAGAACCTGGACATAGCAGACTGATAAAACATACGTGTATGCCCCATATTCATAGTCATTGCGAGTCCAGTCCTCGTTTCCTTTTACGAGTTATCTGGGGTCTACAAGGTTATCTCAATTCAGTAAAATACACTCATTAGGCGGATTGGGGGACGGGAGTGGGAACAGGCAGGAATTGATTGTGAATGGGCAGTAGGGATCTTTTCGGTGCGATGGAAATACTCCACAACTGTATTGCAGTGATAGTTGTGCTGTAAATTTACTCAAAATCATCGTACACTTAAAACAGGTAAGTTTTACAGTAAATCATACCTAAATAAGACAAAAATATTAGACAATATTCTCGGTTCTACTCTTCCAACTGAAGTTTAATGCTGAGTTGTAGCCCTCACTACATTTCTACATTGAAGGCTGCCAAAACAACCGGCCAAGATTCAGTTTGTTCGAGGGCAGAACAAGAATTTTGACCTTTGTATTCCCTCTGGGGAACCCAGCAGAGCATACAGGTCACCTATGCCTTTCATATACATGCCCACATATTTTAGGTAGCTCACAGTTGCAGGAGACCAATTCTACAAATATTTCACCCTCACAACTGTAAATTATATGGAAACTTGGGTACAACATATTGAAAAATAGCAGGTCTCAGGTTCCTCATCTGTAAAAAATTAAAACTAAGATTTTTGTGTTTCCTTCAAGTGGTTTGCTATTCAGTGGGTAGAGTCATCCTTCAATGGTTTCCCATTGTTCTTTGGATAAAGACCAAAATCTTAATCCTAATCATGACCTTTAAGGACTGCTGTGATTTTTCCCTGGCCCATTTCTTTAACATCATCTCCTTGACTCTGACATCCCCTTATGTGCCCAGCTCTTTTCCACTCCAAGGCCTTTCCATATACTCCCCTCTACCTGGTATGTTCCCTCTAATCTTTGCTGGGCCAGCTCCAACTCGTCCTTCAGAATTTCATAAGCCTTTGATGGGTGGTTATCTAGGTTCAAGCGTGAGCTCTATTTGTTCCTAGGTACTGTATAATTAGGCAAGTGACCAACCTCTCCCTGTACCTCAGTTTAATATATAAGATTGAAATAGCAACGATACAGTTGACTGATGTAAAATAATGCATGTAAGGATTATAGATTAGTACCTAACTGCTAGGGGCTGAGTTATGTGACCTTAAAATTCATATATTGAAGTTCTAACCTCCGAGAGTGTAAGAGTGTGACCATATTTGGAGACAGGGTCTTTAAAAAGATAACTAAGTTAAAATGAGGTCATTAGAGTGGGTCCTAATCCAACTAGGGTATCCTTAGAAGAGAACATATGGAAATAGGCAAGTACAGAGGGAAGACCATGTGAAAGCACAGAAAGAAGATGGCTACCTACAAACCAAAGAGAGAAGCCTCAGAAAAAAACAACCCTGCCAACACCTCAATTTCATGCTTTTATTCTCCAATTGTGAGAAAATAAATTTCTGTTATTTAAGCTACTCAGTTTGTGGTGCTTTGTCGTGGCAGCCCTAGCAATCTAATATACTGGCATATGGTGAATACTCAATACATATCAGGTATTATTTCTCAAGGAAGCACTCTCTGAACTAGCTAAGGACTGCTTTTGTAAATTTTCACAGCCCCCAGAATATTTTCCTTTACAGAGCTTTTCACTGGCACAATAGCTAACGTATGAGGAGGGACCCCCCAAAAAAACTCCTGGAATTATCTTCTGGAGGGCATTCCCTTGTAGTGCAGGCTTTCCTCACCGGTTAATGTTCTAGGAACCCATCTGTATCAGTGTAGCAGCTGGCGTTGTTGTGAGAAGTTGCGTTCCGCCTCTGTGAATTTTTTTTTTTTTAAGACTCAATGCATTTGCCTATTTCATTATGGGTGATTTTAGGAGCACACCTGCCCACACTGCACTGAGTGTTTAGCAGTTTTTGACCAAAAACCAGCATGACCCCCATGCCCCACCCTCTCTATTCACATGATCTCACCCGAAGCAACTTTTTTTTTGTTTCCTGCGATGAAAAAAGTCCTCAAAGGGAAATATTTTGCTGATGTGGAAGAGGTGAAACTAAAAACAACAGGAGCACCGAAAGGTATCAAAATTGACGAGCTCAAAAACTGTTTTGAGCAGTGGAAAAAACGTCTCGATAGGTGTGTTGCATCAAATGGAGAGTGCTTTGAAGGTGAGTGCAGTTTAAACATGCAAGAATACATACACAATTTTTTATAAATAAATTGGTTTTTTTTTAGTCCCCTCCTATATATTGATCCCTTAATATATACTAAGTACTTGACATGGATCATCTGATTTAATCATAGGTGCTATAGGAAGGCATTTGTTACTATTTTATAAATGAAAAAACTGAGGCTTGAAGAGATGAAATAACTGGACTAATACTGTACAGCTAGTCATTGGGAGAACAAAGACAAATCTTAGAGACAGTAGCCACCATGCTAAATTGCCTCTTTGTTTCAATTAATCCATTTGAACTGGTATAAATGCATACACATGAAATTATAGATAATTTAAGAGAACTTGGGTTGGGTAGTTACTCAAAATCACCAAGAACAACTGCTAGAGGAGGAAATGAGATAAGGAATGAGTTGAAAGGAGAAATTTTCCTGTAACCATCCAAGAAAAAATTTGTATCACTGAATTCATCAAATGTTTCCTGAGAAACTACGCACAGCCCTATATACAATACAAAGAAAGGAAAGACCCAGCCCTTGCCTGGTCAAGGCTTTCATTCTTGTATGAACGCAAGTAACAATGATGTAAGACAGAAAGTATTAACCGCATTAGGGGGTGAAATGTGTTGGGGGAATGGTTGCCAGATTTGGCAAATAAAATAAGATATCCAGTTAAATTTTAATTTCAGATAAACAAAAACACTAAAAATAATTAGTTGTTTACCTAAACTTCAGATTTAATAGCTGTCCTGCATTTTATCTGTCAATCCTAGAAGTGATGGAATTTCAGTTAGAATATGAACAAAGACAGGCAGGAAAGCACATAAATTGGGTTCAGAGAACAACTACTGGATGTATTTAGAGTCAATTAATGTCAGAAATAAGAATACGAAATAAGGTCAGAAAAATAGGTGAAGCCATGTTCAGAAAGTCTTGAGAGCCAGGGCAGGAGGGAAGGAGGGAGAGGAACCAGTAAAAGACCAGAGAATTAGGAGGCAAACCAAAGGAGCACAGTGTCGTATTCCAGGAGGCAATAGAACAGAATTGTCAAGAAGGAGAGGACAGCTGGAAGGAGGGTCATTAGAAATAAGAGGTCATTGAATTCAGCCATTAAGTTTATTATATGAAAATTAAAACCACAATAAGATACCCTTTTCACCCATCAGATGGACAAAGTCCAAAAAGTTGGAAAATAAGCGTTGTTGGTAGGGGTCAGAGAAATAAGACACTATGGTAGGAATATATGTTACTTTAACAAAAGTAACTTGACAAAATAATAAATTGATAGAATAAAGGCTAAAGCTATGTGTTTAGTGCATACCAGGCACTCTAAGCCGTTCTTTTTTTAATTAATTCATTGAATATTCACAGCAACCCTATGGCACAGAGTGGAAAACTGTGCCATAGAGTTGCTGTGGCACAGAGTGGAAAAACTGTGGCACAAAGTGATTAAGGGACTTGTCCAGGTTCACCCAATGAATAAGGGGCCAAGCCAGCACTTGGATCCAGACTGTGTTCTCCCACTATATAGTGGCTTTATTAGTTAAAGTCTAAAATTCCACTCTTCTGGCACAGAAATTCCCTTTCTAGGAATATGTTCTACCAGAGTATTCCACACGTGTGAAAAGACAATTGAACAAAGTTCGTTATGGTAGCATGGTTTGAAAAACAATCTGAATGTCCATTAGTAGGAGACTAATTAAATACATTTTGGTACAGCCTTAGAGTAAGAAACTATGCAAAGAATGAGGCAGAGCTACATGTATGATATGGAATAATCTCTGAAATACATTAAGTGGGGGAAAAAAAGCAAGACACAAAACAATGTGTACTAATACTGGGGTAAAAAAAAGTGAACATAGATGTATATACACACATATATGCTTCCATATATAAAGTTGTCTCTGAAAGGATGGGTGCCAAGAAGGTAATCTAGGAGAAGGCTGCTTCTGTGGAGGAAAAAACTCAGTCAACTGTGAAAGAGAGGGTTATTTTTGCTGCATTCTCTCTGGTGCTATTTGAATGTCTTTCCTTGTGCATATACTGACTTCAAAACAAACCAATTTTTTTTTAGTTAAAAAAGATTAGAACAGCGAATGGTGCATAGCGCTTTTGACTTTATAAATGTGCACTA